CTGTAGGAAAGGCAGCAAGGTCGAGGAAGAGGTAGGCAGGTGGCACCGCACAGCAAGACGTGCAGCAGCATCGCGTGTGGCCCACTGTAAGCAAACAGTGGCGTCAGCATTAGCAGTAGGGGCAGGAGAGGCACTAGAAGTGAGGTCAAAGAGGGAGAGACCGTCTGCCCTATCGCACTGTAGGAAAAGATGTAGGTCATCTATCCAGACATCAAAGTCAATGGCCCGACCCTCAGCGTCAAAAGCGAGGACACTAGGGGTAGCCATGACAGCAGTAGACTAGCAGCGCGAACAGTAGGGTAAGGGCAGTGCAGTGACAGAGGCGCTGCTCTTACCGGACAGGGCGGCTCGGGCGGCTCGGCGGTGCGGGCGGCTCGGGCGGTACGGCGGCTCGGCAGCAACTGCGGATCGTCGATGCGGGCGGCTCGGCAACGCGGCAACACTGGCGGCTCGGGCGGCTCGGCGGTACGGCGGCTCGGCAGCTCGGCGACCCGGCGGCTCGGGCGGCTCAGGCGGCTCAGGTGGCGCGGCGGCTCGGGCGGCTCGGGTGGCTCGGGCGGCTCGGCAGCAGCTCGGCAGCAGCTCGGCGGCGCCGAGGGCTCGGTGGTGACGGCAGGGCCGCGTGGGGACGGCGGCGGGGCCGGGTGGAGCGGAGGGGCCGGGTGGAGCGGCGGCGGGGCCGGGTGAGGCGGGGGGCCGTCAGAGGCGGCGCCGGGGCCGGGAAGGGCGGCGCCAGGGCCGCAGGGGTCGGCGACGGGGCCAGCCGAGGTGGCGCCGGGGCCGGGAAGGGCGGCGCCGGGGCCGAAGGAGTAGGCGACGGGGCCGCTAGGGCGGCGCAAGGGGCCGCAAGGGCGGCGCACGGTGGGCCGACGGGCGGCTCGAGGGGACGCAAGGGCGGCGCGCGGAGCCGACGGGCGGCGCGAGGGGCCGCTAGGGTGGCACGCGGGGTCGACGGGCGGCGCGAGGGGCCGACGGGCGGTGCGAGGGGCCGCAAGGGCGGTGCGCGGGGCCGTAAGGGCGGTGCGCGGGGCTGCAAGGGCGGTGCACGGGGCCGTAAGAGCGGCTCAAGGGGCCGCGAGAGGGGCCGCTAAGGGCGGCGCGACGGTAGGGAGCGCACGCGGGGCGCGACTCGGGCAGGAGCGAAGCGCGCTCCAGGCAGGAAAAAAAAATTCGAGGTGGGCCCTAGAAAGCGTTCCCACTAGGGAACCTGCTCTGAAACCATGAGAAGAAACGAGGAATGAAATGATTAAGTGAAAGTTGGGTACAAGTACAAACCCTAGAAATCTGTACCCCATATGTGCTACCCCACTATAGCCTACAGTAGCTATGTCATATAACTCTTACAGGCACCATATCCGTTCTTCGGGAAGCCGGGTGTGCGCCACATGTCGTACTAGGTCCACGTATATCTCGATCGGGGCATCGGACTTAGCGATGAAGAGTGCAATCTCAAAGAGCGCGATCTGTCAAAATTACATTGTTATAACTACATGTAGTTCTAGCTGTAGTGTAGTTATCCTAATCATCCTGTTTGGTGGTGCACCTTCTTGTCTTGCTTCTTGCCTATTTGTACCTTTGATTCTGTAATGAAACCCCTCTTTTGGCAAACTCTCTCGACATGTTTCTCACTAAGTCTCCTCCTACCCAAAACCCTAGTCTTAGCTTAATCTACTATTATGACATGGTATCAGAGCTGTAAGCTCCTGGACCTACGTCTAAATGGGCCCACCCTTTCGTAGCAATGACGCCCCTGCTAGCGCACAAGCGCAAATACTGTAGAAGCTTCATGCTCGTTTCTGCCAGCTCACGGAATGGCAGCTCCTACGCTCGTCGCTCGCCCCGTTGCCCTGCCGCTGCAGTCGCCGCGGCGCTCCGCGTCCCGTCGCCGCGGCGACCCACGATCTGTCGCCGCGGCGCCTCGCATCGGTGCCCCGCGTCCCGTCGCCTCGGCGCCCGCTTCCAACGCGGACGCCTGCTCCCGACGTCGTCGCGGACGCCACCGCCAGACGCAAGCACCGACGCCAGCGCCAGGCACCAACGCCGACGCCAGCGCCCAGCGCCAGCGCTAACGCTCGCGCGGACGCCAACGCTCGAAGCGGACGCCGGTGCCAGGCGCCAGCGCGGATGGCAGAAGCCAGCGCCAGCGGCAGGTTGCGGGGAGAGGGTGAGGGAAAAGGGGGAGACTGTGAGGGAGTGACGAGAGAGATTCTGCCGAGCCAGCAGCCGCCCCTCCTCCTCTCTCTCTCACTGCCGCGCGTGCTGCCGTGGGGGGGAGGGTGAGACAGTGGCGAAATTCAGCCGGGCATCTGCTGCTGCCGCCAGCTGCTACCGTGGCACCTCCAGCTGTCGCCCCTGTCGCCACCTGCCCTGTCTTTTGCTACCTGCTGCTGGGGCCTGCAGGTGCTGCCGTCGAGCCGCTACTGTCCTACTGCACGTTGCAGCCACAGAGCCTGCTCCTCAGGCGACCTGCCGCCCCTACGCTTGCTTCTGTTGTTTCTATCTTGGCTGAGGGGTTGGTGCAGCTGAATCTGCTACCACTGCACTGGTTGCAACTGCTCTTGCTTGTTGTTGCTGTTTTCTCTGTCTATGATGTACCCTTGCAGGTTGTGTCTTGCACTTGGCTATTCCTGCATGCATTTATGGGGGGATGTCAAAATTACATTGTTATAACTGCATGTAGTTCTAGCTGTAGTGTAGTTATCCTAATCATCCTGTTTGGTGGTGCACCTTCTTGTCTTGCTTCTTGCCTATTTGTACTTTTGATTCTATAATGAAACCCCTCTTTTGGCAAACTCTCTCGACATGTTTCTCACTAAGTCTCCTCCTACCCAAAACCCTAGTCTTAGCTTAATCTACTATTATGACACGATCAGGTGCTCCTTCTCAAGGTCCTTCGTCTTCGGGTTGTCATCGATCCGGCGGTTAGCCTTGAGCAATGCTGTGGCTTTCTTCTGTCTGTGCAGAGCTCGGCAGTGCTTCCTTGTGCACTGATGCTTCCGCATTGCCTGGGTCTGCACATCGGTTGCCCCTTCTCCTTTGGCACCAAGTTCGTGCCCACACCACCGTGCTTAATGCAGACCGTGCATTTCATTGACGGGAAACCTGCTTTCGTCTGACAGAAAAAAGCCACAAGTAGTCGTCAAACCACAGTTTGTTGTACATGAATAACCCTTCCTGATATTTCTCCTCGGATATGCCATAAGTAACATCAACCGCTTTCCCCTTGAGTTTATGATGTTGAGCCTTCAAGGAAGAGTTCCCCACACTAGACGTGGGCGTAGCTTGACTGGTACCCCACTGGATCTTTGTCTAGAGGTACTTCACTTTGATACCCCTTTTGAGACGTGGGCCGACGCGAGTAGTTGTGGCAGCGACGGGAGGACGGTTCCGTGTAGGTTCGGAAGCGATCGGCGGATCGACAGGTGTTGATGCAGCAGTGACGACATGCCTCAAACACTCACCCTACATCCAGATCATAGGTGTCTCGGGGCTCGAGGAAGGGAGAACAAAGGTCGGAACTGATGGCGAGACTAATGCGGGAGCAGCTGAAGGTCGTCGTAAGAAGTCAAGTCCAGTAAGGGCCACTGGCTTTCTAACGCATCGCCCTCCTACCCTACGAGCGTTTCCTAGCTAAGGCACTACCTAAGCAAGGTATCGACTTACGGGAAGAAGAGGATGGAGGAGATGAGTGGTGATTGGTCCACAATTGTGGACAACCACCCACTAAAAGACAAGCATGGTTGGAATCCAACCCAACCCCACATTGGTTGGAATTCCAACCAATGACAATTGAACATTGTTGTTACAAGTTACAACATGTAACATAACCATTCTTATCACAATTCTATTGCTCTCATTGGTTGCTAATCCAACCATTGTGCCACCTAAGCAAGCTCACCCCAAGGAGCTCCTTGCCCTTGTTGCCATGGAGGAAGTGGAGCTCCCCAAGGAGGTCTAGGGGGGGGATTGAGCTCTGCAAGCTCATTCTCAACTCCCAACTTCCAATTAACCAAAATGGAAATGGGATCTTCTCTCTAAGTCCAAGTCTTTTCCCTCACAAGTGTTCCAGGCATCTACTACCTTCTTGGTGAAGTTACATTTTCTCTCCCAAGGCTTCACCTATCAAGCTTCCAAGACTTGAGGCTATTAATAGGACTAGTCTTTCACTGTGTGTGTGTATCCTTGGCGTTTTATAAGCCTACTATTGACCCTTTTGTGGGCATTCATTTATAAGCCCGGGTCTTTGTTGTGAGTTTAAGGGCGTTTTCATATAAGCCCGTGTTACAGGCTTCGTGGCAGCGTTGGTTTCAGGGCCGTCGCCTGCGGGCGACGGGACCGCCATGGCTGCTCAGCTCTGCCGAGCATGCCGAGCATGAGAGGGAAGGTACTGCAGGGGTTCACGACGAGTGCAAGAACAGAATGAGGGAGCACATGGGGGTACCCCCTCTCTCGGGCCGCCAAGGAGAGGCATCTTGGTCCTCCCTGGTCATCTATTCTGGCAAGATGACAAGCCCCTCGCCCCACTGCCATCCTTCATCACGTGTTGGCGTGGACCCTGCCTCCAGTGGTGTGTTGTTTGTCTTCTGATTGGGCAGTCGAGAACAAGGTTAGAGCTGTGGCGTTTTGATAGTTTCCAGTGAGGCAAAACGGTTCGGCGCGCAGCAGCTGTCTGTACAGCGAATGGGAAAAAAATTCCGAGTGTGTGGGTGGGGTTTCGTGAATCACGGGAAGGTACACAATGTACATGCATACCTTATCCCGCTTCGACATTTCCCAACCTCAATCACAGGCCCGTCGCGCATCTCCCGCAGTTCGTTACCGTTACCACCATGGGAATTCGCTATATAGATCTCGCTCATGTCTTCGCGCAATGTTCTGCTTTGCTTTGCTAGTGGCAATTCTCGCTCGCTCGCTCAATTGCTCATGTAACAACAATGTACAAACTTAGGAAGGTTGAAGCAGTTTTGTGCTGTTTAGAAATCATGTTTTAATTTAGTAGCCTAGGAGCCTAGGATAGACGCAATGTGGGGAGAGAGGAGGGGGTCCAGTATGAAAAGAGATCTAGCAAGAGGAAAGATGGCAAAGAGGGTACACCATGAGAGAAATAACGTGATACTACACTACCTAACTTGTATGCAGTTACATATCTTAAGCTCCCAGCATAACCCTCACCTTCACTCCTCTTTCCTGACACTCTTTCCGCGTAATGCTGACGAAATAATAGTTCTTGCGCTCAGTGAGCTTATAACGAAACTTAGCCCTTAGCTTGGACTTCACAAGAACTTTCGAGATGGTCGTACTCGTTATGTCGCATTGCTCATATGCTTCCAAAGAAGATAACAGAGCCACGCTATGCTTCCTGAGAGTGCGCGAAGTCATGACGGATTTACCCCACCTGAAAACTGCAGAAAGGGGAGGGACGCAGAGATGAGACAGGAGAAGCAGACGAGAGGCAAGAGCAAGCGGTGATAGAGAGGATCCATGCTCCATTGCACGCAACAAAGTTGTAAGTGGTCACTAAGCAGCAGGTAGGAGAGGGAAGAGACGGACAGCCGAAGTGCAAGTCCATTTTAACATGCTGGAACTCACTCGCGCACCCGACACACTGTAATGCATCCCTACCACGCTGAGCATGCCCACATGGTGACAAGAACATGACAGCAATCTTGGTGTTATGGCATCCCTTGCTGTATGACATCCTTGAACATTCGTACATACTTAAAGTATCACCAAGCTTGATTGTTGGTCTTTTCGTCCACCACTGGTTTTGCCCGACATAAGGCCATCCGTTCTTGCCGCCGAGCACAACCGTTTTGGCGTGCTGCGCGGGGTGAGGGAAAACGAAAGAAAATTGACAGCAAGGTGGCGTTGAGGAGTCAGAAGCATTCAGTTGAGCCATTGCTGCCATCGGTTGCAAGTGACCAAGCAAGTTAAACCATTTGCATGCGACCAAGCAAGCTAAACCCTTCAGTCAAGCCCTTTGTGCCTCCGACCACTGCTGTGACGGCACGCTGGGCCGTAAGGCGATCAAAGGGCAACAGATGATGCGGCAGTGCACTTACAGCAACTGCAGGGCGCCGGGTTGTAGTCGGTATTAGGTCCAACGAAGATCCTGCACAGCAACACGGCCGCACACAGCACAGCATGGCACAGCACAGCAAATCAGAGCACAACACAGCAGCGAGCAATACGAACCCCGGCGCATGATTAGAAACACCAACTTGGAGGCCGAATCAGGCTGTGGAGCCACTCGAGAGCAGCAAACTGGTACTTCCCGCCCGAACGAGAGCCACCTTGAGCGTACCTGCCAGCAGCAGCAGCAGCAGCAGCAGCAGCGCGAGGGGGAGACGAGCCATATGGCTTCCGCTGTGTGGGGTGACTGTGTATGACTGCTGGGACCGGCAAGGCTTCCCCCATTTATCATTCTCGGCATTTGGCTAGACGCATCAGGCCGGGCCTATCCTTCGCAGGATGTTTACCGGGCAAGGAAAACCAGGATGACCACCGGGCAAGGAAAACCAGGATGACCACCGGGCAAGTGTCCGGGTTTGTGCATTTTTTGCCCAGATATAGTAGCCGAGTTCTCGGTTTCACGACCCAGCGTTGAAGCATTTTTTTTAGGGCGTGTTTATTAGAATTCTTGTTCAACTTTCGTGGTAACCCTGTTTGTCAATGTCGCCACAGCATCGTGAGATCTGATTTGTTGGCGAGGAGGCGGGTTTCTCAAATTTGGCAAACAATGGTCACCACATCTCGCCAGAGCTCTTGCAACCCAACCTTCCAGGGGAAAATGGGGTGAATTTGCCACTGACCAATGCAACTCATGGCTTTCAGTGTTTATACCGGGGCAGCTTGTACCAGTGCAACGAATCACACGATAACGGGACTCAACAACCAGCCTTGTTCTGCCGCCGTTCGCTTCCGCTCGCTCTCCCCTCCTCTCCTTCGCGCCATGATACGCGCCGTGTTCCGCGGCAAGGTTCGCGCAGAGTCTCGCTCTCGGGTCCAGGAGTGGGACTGTGCGGCGATCCCGCTCTGACGTTCCGCGAAACGGCCGCATATCCCTCAGCACGCCCCTGAATTCACGCCGCCTCGAGTTTAGCGCGACGCGCAGCAGCTGTCGCCACTGGCGCTTCGCGGACACGCTTGCAGTGCCGTCGCGCGCGGGAAAGCGCTGCCAATCCGCGCGGAGGACGCGCGGGCGGAGAGACTTGCGGGGAACGTGGAGAATGATCCGCGCGGGGATGCGGAGGAGGGCGCTCGGGGAGCGCTGCGGATGTTTCCACCAGGATTCCTGTTTGGCACCGTCACGGCCGCATACCAGGTGGGGGGGTCAAGGGGAAGCATGGGGGGGAAGAGGAGGAGACGCGGGCGATGGGAGAGTGTAGGGGGAAGGAGGGAGGCCAGGCTTGTTGGTGATTAGCAGGGGCCACGGCTGGTTACCAGTCGCGCCTTTGGGGTTGGGGGAAAGAGGAGAGGGGGGGGAGGAATGGGGGGGAGGAGGAGGGGAGGAGGAATATGGGGGTGGGAGGGGAGGGCTTTGGTGGTGTGTGAGGCAGGGGGGAAAGTTGAAGAGGATGACGAAGTGAGGTGTAGGGCGGCAAGAGAGGGCGTAGGGCAGCGAGAGAGGGCTACAAGGTGCGGACCGGAGCTCTCCACATGGAAACGCTGGGCGTTACATAAGCGATCTCACGTCAGGTCACAGACTCACAGCCCAAAGCAGCGGGCGGTGTGGAAGCAACATGGGTTGCGGGACAAGTGTCACCTCAGGTGTAGCTGCCCGGCCCTCATGCATGATATGTGCGCACACATGCACGCGAATGCACGCATGCTCCATGCTCCTCTGGTTGCACGGGAGGGGGCAAGTTGTGGAGAGTGGATGACACGTGGAGCGAGCGCACGCAAGGGAGGAGCGACCACACCTTGCTCTCTTCGCTGCCCCCCTTTCCCACACCTTGCTCTTCGCTGCCCCCCTTTCCCACACCTTACTCTTCGCTGCCCCCCTTTCCCACACCTTACTCTTCGCTGCCCCCACACCTTACTCTTCGCTGCCCCCCTTTCCCACACCTTATTCTTCGCTGCCCCCCTTTCCCACACCTTACTCTTCGCTGCCCCCCTTTCCCACACCTTACTCTTCGCTGCCCCCCTTTCCCACACCTTACTCTTCGCTGCCCCCCTTTCCCACACCTTCCCCGAGTACGCAGGTGTAGGGAGCAGCGCAGGAAGGAGGGCGAGGCGCCAGCATTTGGGACGTGTTTGCCCACACGCCAGGTACTGTAGCACGCCAGGTACTGTACATTTTTTAATGCAGCAGAGTCTTACCAATCTGCATAGAGATTATGGCACACACCAAATGTCGATGTTACGTGTGCGAGCATGTGTGAGTTTGTGTGAGTATGTGTAAGTATGTGTGAGCATGTGCGAGCATGTGTGAGTATGTTTGAGAACACATTCATATGATTTAGTGCTTGTGTGCTACGAACCTGTGTGCTGTGAACCTGTGTGCTGAGAACCTGTGTGGAACAGGAAGGACGCACAACGGGGACACGGGTGATGTGGCGTGCGATCAATACCACCGATACGAGGTGCGTGCCATGCCCCTCCACCTCCACCCAATCAACGCCACTCCACCAACACCCTCCTGCGCCGCTGTATCTGTTTAATGCACCGTTGTATCTGTTTAATGCACCGTTGTATCTTCCTGCTGCTTGTTCGAAGCACCATTTCCGAAGGCATATTCGCTACTGTTTGTGGCTAGCCAGTTGCCTCACACCTCACACCTCACACCTCAGACCTCACCGCGACACATCGTGCAGGAGGACGTGGCACTTCTGAGGCACCTGGGCTGTTAGTGTTAGCCCTCAATCTCACATTCTGTACTTGCACTTTCTATGTCGTAGTGTAGTGTAGTTTGCACTTTGTGTTTGGTTGGGTGTACACCTACATCCCAACCAAACCCAAATGTGATCTCCAAGCAATCCCCTACCCACCAATTGGAGATTGCTTTGGGATTACCCCCAATCCACAGTGATTGCCCCCGATTCTCCTTCCCATCCATTCCTTGCTCATCCTAGATCTACTTAAAGAGCTTCAAGCTCATTACTAGTGCATGGATTCTGCAGCCTCCCTTGTATGTCCGCCTCCCGTGCTCTCTGCACTCCACACTCCACATCCCTCCCCTCCTTCCCATGCGTGCGTGTGTGCATGCAGGAGGACGAGGCATCTGGGCTTCTCAGCGTACCGCCTCTCCATCAGCTGGCCCCGCATCCTTCCATGTGCGTCAGCCATTGTTGATCTCTGACTCGCCAAAATAAGACGACTCTGGGTATTCTCACACAACCGTACTGCGTCTCCAATAGCTGTCCGTTCATCCTCCCGTGTGCGTCCCCTTTCCCTGCCCTGTGTGCTCCACCACAATGTGCTGTGCGCGTCTCCTTGCCCATGCCCTGAACCATCCACAACACACTCCGTGTGAGGCACAAGAAGAATCATTCAGTGTGAAAGACCATGTCTTGCAAACTCCTAGAGACATGCACCTCGTTCTCATGCTTGCTGTTGTCTTATCTAACTGCATAATCATGAGCATTAAAGTCCCCTCTTCGTACCCGCCTGCACATGGCTCTGATCTTCGCAGACAACACGCCATCACATTTGGTTCAATTCGTACAACCATCGCACTTCTCCTGGCTATATTCTTCCGTTCTGTTTCTCTCTGTGCCTGCTCTCATTGGCTCACAGCTGGGCGGCAGCCAGTGAACCAGGAGGGCGTGGAGTATTACAACCGCCTCATCCACTGCTTGCTTCATAACGGTGGGTCACCGATTGCAACTGCGCTGCACCTCATTGCACCACTTTGCACAGCTCTGCACATCTCCTTCTCTCCGTCCTTGGTATATGAAGCACAGCAGGACAGCAGAGCATCATACCTACCATGAACCAGGAGGGTGGGAACTACTACGACTGACCCCCCAATGGGGGGAAGGAGGAGGGGGTGGTTCTAGGATTCGAAAGCCGTATCCTGGCTGCAGAAGCTTGTTCTTCCAGGCAACAACAAAGTCGCCTGGGCCCTCATTACGCTCCTTGAGCTTTCTGCTGCCTCATCCCTCCTCCACCACCCCACTCCCCCCCCCTGCCCCTTCCCCTCCCATCCCCCGGTTCCCCTCTTGCACAGGCATCACGCCGTGTGTGACGCTCTTCCACTGGCACCTGCCACAGGCACTGGAGGAGGAGTTTGGAGGATTCAGAGGCGAGCAGGTCGTGTGAGTGAGGGCGGGTGTGCCCATGGTTATGCTGTGCTTGACAGTGTCAACGGAGCTAATGCTGCTGCCTCGGTTCATGGTGATGGTTCGAGCATTATGCTGCCTTTGCTCTCATCCCTGCAGTCAATTTTTTCCCCGTGCAACAATGTCTGAGGCACGGCACCTCAGCGTGCAAGAATTCCCCAACTTTTCCCTCACCCTGCATGCCTCTCTTGTTTCCCTCACCCTGCATGCCTCTCTTGTTTCCCTCACCCTGCATGCCTCTCTTGTTTCCCTCACCCTGCATGCCCCTCTTTCTTCAACCAATGTGTCTTCAACAACCGTACAACCTTGTATTCAGAAATAATGCCGTGCCCTGCTTCTCTTGCTACGTGAAGCTTCTCTTGCTAAGTGCCCCACGGATACTCACTCAACGAGCCCCACTTTCTTGCCAACAATCTACTACCTGCTGTCTGCCCTGCTCCGCATCCCACTTTCAACAAGCCTCGCCACCAAGGGCCATGCCATGAAGAAGTTGCACCCAACGATCTCACATTTCCCTTCATCCCACCCCTTGTCCCCCATCCCAGCCCCGCTTTCACAGAATCTGCACTGCTTCTCCCTCTTCGGCCACCGAGTGTCTCACTGGCTCACGCTCAAGGGCTATACCTTCGCCACCAAGGGCTACACTGTGGGACTTAGCTCCCTGCTGTCTGCCCTTCCCCCTCACCCAACCTCTCACCCCTCCCCCGTCCCCCACTGCAGCTCTGCATTTAGGGAATATGCACGACTCTGCTTCTCTCTCTTCAGAGACAGGGTGTCTCACTTGCTCACCTTCAACGAGCCCTACACCTTTGCCACCAGGGGCTATGCCATGGGCGAATTTGAGATTTGCACTCAACTGTTGTCCTGCCTCTCCGCTCCGCTCTCCCCTCCAGTGGTGCATTCAGGGAATATGCACGGCTCTGCTTCTCTCTCTTCGGCGACAGAGTGCCCTACTGGCTCACATTCAACGAGCCCTACACCTTTGCCACCAAGGGCTACGCCGTGGGGGACTTTGCGCCCGGGCGCTGCTCCGACCGGCAGTGCTGTGCGGAGGGCGATGGGGCGGTGGAGCCGTATGTGGTGGTGCACCACATGCTGCTGGCTCACGCTGCTGCTGTCGACTGCTACAGGAGGGAGTTTCAGGTAGGTAGATCGGAGACTGATGATTCGCAGAGGAGAGTGAGTATCCAGGCAGATGTGTTGGGTGTTGCTGTGGATTGCTACGGGAGAGGGTTACAGGTAGGTGGGTGGGCTGCTCGTACAGACTGTAACAGGAGATCTTTTTACGTCGGTGTCTCGGGGGTTACTGCTGCTGGTATGCTGGAGAAGCTGTTGTGGGTGAGCAACAAGCCATCAAACTTCTCCATGCACAGAGCCCTCAACATGAAACCCCGGCTGGAAGAATCTTTTTGTTGCTCGACTCCCATTTGACCACCCCATTCCATCTTCGTAATGGAATCTTTTTCTTCCCTCTCCCTCTCTCTCTCCCTCTGCCTTTTCTTCCCTCACCCTGTATTGCCAGGCCAAGGTACCTCATTGCCCACCAGCCTCAGCAGGGAGGATAAATCGGCATCCCCGTGGACAGCGAATGGGCAGAGCCTTTCTCACAGCACCCTGATGACGTGGCAGCTGCTGATAGGCGCATCCAGTTCAGCCTCGGATGGTGGGTGGCTCCGCTTGTCTTCTTCCACCCTCTTGCGTGCCTGCTTCCTATTAGACCCCGTGTGTGCCTAATCGTTCACCCACGTACCACATGACAGTCGCGTCGTAACCTTACCCATTCCCTTCTTTCTACCTTGCCCATTTCCCCCCAATCTCCAGTCTCTCATCCCTCCCTCCTCAGGCTGCCGCACCCCATATTCTTTGGCACCTATGCACCCGCCATGCACCACTACGTGGGCCCTCCTCCCCCTCACAAGCTGCCTCGCTTAAAGGCAGTGTGAATTTTGTGGGCCTCAACCACTACACGTCCAGATACATTTCACATGCAGACCCCAGCGAGGACGGGTACAATGCACATGCCCATGCGCAGGGGGGTAAAGATAAAGGCAAGCTGTCGAGCTACTTTGATGATCAGCATGTTACTGTTCATGGTGTGAGCATGTTAGTGTTCATGGTGTGAGCATGTTAGTGTTCATGGTGTGAGCATGTTACTGTTCATGGTGTGAGCATGTTATTGATCATGGTGTGAGCATGTTACTGGTCATGGTGTGAGCCTTCATTGCTTCGTTGTGACTGGTCTCTCCTAAATTTCATTGTCTTCCCGTTTCATTTCCACTGTGCTCCGTCGTAATCTTCTCTCTCGACCATGACTTGTGTCTGTCTCTACCTGTGCGTGGCCCCCTTCCATGCATGCATCGCACAACTCATGGCATGCCCACGTGATGCTCCTCCATGCCATTCCTCTACTCTTCATTCTTCCACGCATCGCACTGCAATCACATGGCAGCTGAACATGATGGCCGCCTGATTGGCCAGCTGGTGATTCCTCTCCTCTCCCATCCTCGCCTCTCCTCTCCCTCCCCTCCTTTCCTCCCGTCTCATCCTCATTCTTGAAGCCCCCTAACTTTGGCAGGAAGGCACGTTCTGGCGTGTCTTCTTTTCACTCTAGGCACGTTCTGGCGTGTCTTCTTTTCACTCTAGGCACGTTCTGGCGTGTCTTCTTTTCACTCTAGGCACGTTCTGGCGTGTCTTCTTTTCACTCTAGGCACGTTCTGGCGTGTCTTCTTTTCACTCTAGGCACGTTCTGGCGTGTCTTCTTTTCACTCTAGGCACGTTCTGGCGTGTCTTCTTTTCACTCTAGGCACGTTCTGGCGTGTCTTCTTTTCACTCTATTCCACTTGGAGCTGCACCACATGGCATACATCCTAGTTCCCATGCACATGTGCCAACCTAGTTCCCATGCACATGTGCCAACCTAGTTCCCATGCACATGTACCAACCTGCATCACGCCAGGCCGCGTCCCCCTGGCCGTACAAGGTGCCGTGGGGCTTGCAGACGCTGCTCATACACATCACCACCACATGCGGCGTCCCGCCCAAACTGCTCACTGCTGTCATGTCACCCCATTTCCCCCTCTCCATGCACCAAACTGCACCATGCCAGGCAGCATCACCCTGGCTGTACGAGGTGCCGTGGGGCTTTGAAAAGCTGCTTATGCACATCACCACCTCAGAAGGGGCACCGCCCATCTACATCACAGAAAAGGGTACTGCCGTGCTGTGGTTTCACAGTGTACGTACTGTGCTTGTGTCATCTCACATGCCATGCATTCTCATCTCACATGCCATGCATTCTCATCTCACATGCCATGCATTCTCATCTCAAATGCCATGCATTCTCATCTCACGTGCCATGCATTCTCATCTCACATGCCATGCATTCTCATCTCACATGCCATGCATTCTCATTTCACATGCCATGCATTCTGACCAGATTCTCCTTTCCAAAAGAAATAGTCGCCTCAAAGATAAGGAAGGTGCCATCAAAGGCCACCTTGCTGCTGCCTGGGTCTGGGCGTGCCCCTTCGATTCATTCCATGTGTGATGGGTCTGTTTTCTGAATCGACTCAAATACTGTTCCATCTCGCTCCTCTCCGCTCCATCACTCACACATAAGTCCCCTTATTTGTCTCACACCGCCGTCCCCTGTCACCTTAAGATGAGAATGAGAATCTCTTGAGAACTGTGTGTCAGTTCAGCTCTCACACCCCCATCTTGCAGGGCCCAATGAGGATTACGAGTGAGCCACACCCTAAAAAATTTCAAACCTCTCCACTCCTCCCCACGCCATCCCACCTACCCCCACACTTCTCCACACCTCTCCACACCTCCCGACACCTCCCTACACCTCCGCACACCCCGAAAGGTCCAGTTGAGGAGGACGACCAGTCGCTGCCACTCCATGTGGCCACGAGTGACCCACACCGCGTGTGGTACTACCACGCGTACCTCTCCCACTTTCTCGCCGCCATCATGTAGGTCTGACTTGCGCTACCAAGCAGTTTTGTTGAAGTCACTGCCACTCTGTGGCCTCCACGTTCTGCAGTCACTAATGATCCCCACCGCATTCCCACCTACTCGTCGTCGTTAGGTGGGTTCACCCCCGTGACCCTGTGTTCTTTCACGCCTGCTGTAGCTTGGTGCCCCACACCCACTGTTGCTCAAGGGATGAGTGCTAATCCAAACGAGCGGGAAGGTGAAGACGCAACGAGCGGGAAGGTGAAGACGCAACGAGCAGGAAGGTGAAGACGCAACGAGCAGGAAGGTGAAGACGCAACGAGCAGGAAGGTGAAGACGCAACGAGCAGGAAGGTGAAGACGCAACGAGCAGGAAGGTGAAGACGCAACCATAACAAATGCATGTTGAGCCTCTCCCGCCCGCCTGGTCCTAACCCGATCACTGCCATGCTGTGGCATCCATGCTCAGACCATTCCACGCATGCACGCATGAATGCTCTTGTTGTCTCGTGTGTGCTGACTTCAGTCATCCTTAAGCTGGCGTTGTTCTAGCATGCTGACATCATCAGACACATGCTGTTGTGCGTTCATCCATTGCCGTCTCACCCCTGCACGCATGCCCGGCAGGCAAGGGGCGGACGTGAGGGGGTACATGGCATGGTCGTGGATGGACAACTTCGAGTGGCAGATGGGGTACTCGCGCCGCTTCGGCCTCGTGCATGTGGACCGCACAAATGGGTTGAAAAGAACGCCCAAGACGTCTGCAACTTGGTGGCAGAGGCTCCTATCGGGGATACCCGTGCATGAGTCTTAGTCCTAGATGAGGGTACGCACAGATGTGAAACATGGCTTTCGGTTGTTTGCAATGTGCTGAAGCAGAGATGCTGCGACAAGACAAGACATGTTTGCAAATCAGCAACCAACATGGCGGGCGAGTAAAGCCTTTGCTTTGCCTTGATGGACGGTCACATTCTTTGGATATCATTTTCATTTTCGAGGTGAAGGGAGACATCATGATTCATGACGTGTGAAGGAAGAATGCCCAAAACGTCTGTGCTGTGCTGGAAGACAACTTTCATCGGGCAATTGGGTTTTCATCATGGGATGCCTGTTCAATGTTCATTCTACATGTGTGTACGCACCGGGGTATACGATGACACAGGTTCATTTTTGTTGCGTGTTTCCAAAACGGCACTCGACGACTGATTACAAAAGATTGATTTTAAAGAGTAGCATAATCTTCACTTTACGTACCGTATAGTTCCGGCTAAAATGCACGCCGGTAAAAAGGTCCCCCGGGACTCTTGAATGGGTAGGTGGACTCTTATTGTGGCAGGTTTTGTGAGGAACCCCTCTTTGCCTCTAATCATAATAGGATGTCAAACTATATACCGTCTCCCCCCGGATATAAGCGCCACCCTAGGATAAGCGCCTGGCGCTTCTAATTGGCATATGGCGCTTATATCCCCTCCTCGATTATAAGCGCACCCCTTGAAAAAACTTGTTTTATTATAAGCGCACGTAAACTTTAAAATTTGAAATGTGTTCAAAAAGCTGTAACGATTTTTACTTTAGCAGGCGGATATGTTGCAGATTCGGTTCCCTTCACATTCGGACCCTGCACTGGATGCGGGTCCAGTCAGCAGGACCTATCAGGAGCTGGATGTGAGTCAGATTGGGTGTATCTCCCAGCGCGCGCGAGAATTTCACAGACGATCCCATGTAACTTCGACTCGATTGACAAGGCAAGCACGAGACCTACAGTTTGGTGTTAAAAGATATAAAAAAATATGTATGTCATTTTATAAACGCCGGCGCTTATAAATTTACTCGATTATAAGCCCACCCCCATGAAAAAACCTGTTTTATTATTGCCCCCCATGGGGGTATATCCGGGGGGATACGGTATGTGTTAGTTCTGTGTAGGCTATAGTGGGGTAGCCCATATAGGGTGTGAAAACAAAGAACGAGGATGGAATGACTATGAACGAAGTGAGTACAAATAGGAAACCCTAATTGGGTTGTACCCCCTATGGGATACCCCACTATAGCCTACAGAAACAAGTAAGCTATAAGTTCTGACACACCCCCATAGGCAAAGTGGGGGAGAACAAGGGGTCACAAGACCAGTCAAGCAAAGCAAAGCAAAGCTCAGGGTGGATCACAAAGTCACCACGCATTCCGAGCACAAGTTCAAAGGCCACAAGGCCAGTTCACATGCAAGATCATATATAGAGATATACAAGAGCAAGAGTATATATATGCGAAAGTACAAGCAAGGTCAAGAGGAGAGCAAGTGAGGCAAGACAGGCACAAGACCCAACTGCGTGCAGCAACGCTGATGATCACAAGGCGCAAGTGCCTTGGTGAAGACATCAGCAGTGTTGGCCTCAGAGGCCACGTACGCAAGTCGCAGCTGTCCACGCTGCTGTAGCTCACGAGCAAGAAAGTAGCGAAGAGCAATGTGCTTCGTTCTGTGCTCCAGTCGCTGCTCTCGACACAAGGCCAGCATGGCCTTGTTGTCTACGTACAGGACTGGAGGAGAACGAGGCTGCTCTCCAAGGTCGGTCAGCAGGTAGGTGAGCCAGCGTAACTCCTGTGCAGCCATAGCCCCAGCGTAGATCTCAGCCTCACAACTGGAGCCGAGAACAGAAGACGAGCGGGTAGCCCGCCACGAGACAGAGCCGGAACCAAGGCTGAAGGTGTAACCCTGTGACGACCGCTGCGTAGCCTGGTCGTCAGCCCAAGAAGCGTCTGCGTGCCCAGTGAGGACCACTGGACTGCGCCCTCCAAGCACTAGCCCCATGCCCGACGTACTGCACAAGTAGCGCAACACCCTCTTCGCTGCAGCCATGTGCTCTGGTCGGTGTCTCCCAGGAGCAACAAAGCGTGCGAGAATGCTAATAGGGTATGCGAGGTCAGGTCGTGTGCAGGTCATCAGGTACATGAGGCAGCCAACAAGCTCTGCAAACGGGCCACTCGAC